TTTGAGGCCCGTTCCCAAGCTTTGCTGGGCAGCCCTGGAGTCCGAGGGGTTTTAAACACAGTCTGGGGTTCTGCCACGGCCCCAGGCAGGGAGGGAAGAGCCGGACCGGGCGACTGATCACTGGAGGCTTTTCCTTCCTGTGAACGGTTCAACCCGCAGCTCTGCTGGGAAGCGCGGGGGCCCGTCGATATCATCAAACTTGACTTAGCTCGACTGTAGCCAGTGATTTTCCCACACTGTGGGAAGCGAGGGCCGTAAACACAGAATGAGGCGATCACCGGAGCCTTTTCCTTCCTGTGAATGGTTCAACCCGCAGCTCTGCTGGGAAGCGCGGGGGCCCGTCGATATCATCAAACTTGACTTAGCTCGACTGTAGCCAGTGATTTTCCCACACTGTGGGAAGCGAGGGCCGTAAACACAGAATGAGGGATCCACGGGCGCTCTCTTGCCACACGAAAGGCTGTGAGCCTGCGTTTTCTTTCCCCCTCTTGAGAGCTGTCTCCTGGAAGGCAGGTCTCCTGCAGTGGGGTGGTGGCCAATTGGGCCACAAAGCAGAGGGAGGTCATCGCTTGTATTGGACCCAATTTCTGTTGGTGCAAACAAATTTTCGAGCTTCCACAGGGCTCTTCGTCAGGTCATCTTCAGGTCTCATCTCTTTCGCGGACAGATCTGAGTCCAGTAAACGATATTTCTTCACCCACCTTGTCTCTGCACTATTCGGTGCCAGAGCTCAGTAGGTTTCTTAAGCAGGTCGTGAAGACATTGTACACCCCGGGGAGATATTTTAACACATGCCAAAATGAGGCTCAGGAATGGAGGTAAGATGTGAATCAGGTGGGTTTTCTGATATGTTTGGGGGGGTAGGAACTCGGTTCTCCTTCCCCCACGAGTTCATAAAGGGGAGTGAAGAGTAAATGAGTAACACAAGGGTACACACCTGCATGGGAATGTGTTGGCCAGGAAAAACCAACTGTACATTGAATGTAAAGGACGCTTCCCTTCTCTCTTCCCAGCTGTCTGATTTGAAAGACCAGAAGTCCAATTTGCCCTTGGTAAACATGATGACAGAAGCACAAATAAAAGAAAAGACTGGAGACCAAAACGTCAAAGAAAAACTGAAGCAACGCCAGGCCATCAATGAGGATTATGAGAAAACAGGCTACGACCGGGGACACCTGAACCCAAGGGACTTCCAGGGCGGTGATGACTGTTTGGCCACCTTCACCCTCACCAACGCCGCCCCCCAGCAATCCCGCTTCAACCGGGTCCACTGGCGCAAACTGGAATGCAATCTCAAGATACAGTTAACAGAGAAGTGCTATAAAGAAAAAGGGAAGGCCTTCCTCGTGACCGGCGTGGTGCCTGACAAGCAGAAGAAAATCCCCAATAAGGATAATAACAGAGATCCAAGGGTGGTGGTGCCCAGCCACTTCTGGACGGCCGTTTGCTGTAATCACGCCGACAATAACAAGAAATTCGCCTTCGCCTTCCTGTGGGAGAACGAGGCAAACAGCATCCCGAAGGGCATGACGGTGAAGGATCTGAACACAGAGTTACAGAGGCTGTATGGGGGCAATCAGGCCATCACGATTCTTAACGATTGCAATGAAGACGGCCAGACGGGAAAGGACATTTCAGCGGCGATCAGCAAAAAATTGCACAGCAACCTTCCCAACACGGACCAGGACCCCTGTCAGACGCCAGGGTCATCAGGAGCAAAGCGCCGCAGAACCAAGTGACGGAAACACCCTGCTTAGGAGAAGCTGCGCTCGCTTGTGACCAGGGGAAAGAAAGTAGCACTAGAGAAATCCCGAGAAGCTTTTTAATTGACGGCTCCTGGGGCCGATGTATCCGCCTGAGCTTGTCCGTGTCCGATGTCCCTCTTCTCACACCTGCTGCGCTTCAAATCTTGTCTTCAATTCGCCCCCTATCCTGCCCTCTCTGGGCCCTGTATCGCTGCACTGAGGGGGGGGAGGGGACACGATTTGCCTGCTTTCATGCTGCGTTAAGGGCTGCCGGGCTGCCAGTCATATAGTCTTGGGTTGGGATGAGTCAAAATTTGTCGTAAGCCTTTTCCTGCTTCCGTGATGCAAAAGTCCGCTTGGCTGACAAAGAGCTGGCAAATAAAAAGGCCGGATGGCAAAGAGCACCCGCTGCTGTGTTGGCTTGGATGGGCTGGGTGCGGGAGGGCAGAGTTAAGGGGAGGGTCAAGGACGATAGTGATTATGCTGCGTGTCACACTGGCTTGCACAAGCAGCTGCCCCGAGAGACCCCTAAGCACCACAAAAGCAGATGCGGATCCAAGGTGCCAGGCCAGGTTGGTTGTGAATAAGCGCCGTCACAGCTGCCCAGATCAGGGGTCCACAGGTAGGCAGAGAAGGTGATGGACAGTAACAAGAATCCACCAATACCCCCTAGGCCAGGCCAAGACAACTCCCGGGGGGGAGGGTGTGCACTTTTATGCACAAGCACAGGTAGAACCTCCCTTGTCCGGCAACCTCGGGATCTGACCGGTTCCGAACGAGCGAATTTTCCGGACCGCGGAGGTTAATATTGTCTAGCACAGTGTTTCCGGACCGCGGAGGTTAATATTGTCTAGCACAGTGTTTCCGGACCGCGGAGGTTAATATTGTCTAGCACAGTGTTTCCGGACCGCGGAGGTTAATATTGTCTAGCACAGTGTTTCCGGACCGCGGAGGTTAATATTGTCTAGCACAGTGTTTCTGTAACTTTTCAAGACCGAGGAACACCAAGGATTTTTGTTGAGAAAAAAAAAAGGAAGCGTGCCCCTTTTCAGGACGGCCATTTGAACTCCCTTCTCTCCGCGTGTATTTTCTGCACCAAAATTAGGGCACCTCACCTACAGCCCCGACTTCTGGTTCCTAAGCCCCTGGCTCTCACGGTCAAGTAAAAGTAACCCCCTCTAAGAACTTTTCCCACCATCCTCCTACCCACGGGGGATGTGTTTGGCCCCAACTGAACCCGCTTTCCTCTGGTGCTGGTCCCTCCCCTGCAGGTGTCTGCCCTTCTGCTTCACCCCCAGAATCCCCTGGTACCTGCACCTTCCCTTAGCCCTGCACCTCCTGGTGCCTCCCCCTTCCCTCACTGCCCCTGCCCCCTTTGCCCTTTTTCCCTGATGCCCACCCCCTCACCACCCTCTGCCCCAGTTCCCCTCATGCCCCTGTGCCCTCACACGTGACTGGCTCCATCCCCGCCTTCCTCATGCCCACCCCTTCTTTCAAGCCTTCTCCCAGGACCTCCCCCTCCAGCCCTCAATGCCCTTCCCCTCTCCTCTCCCAGCATCACCCTGTCCCCCCTCCCACTGACACCTCCCCTCCTGCTCTTTTTTCCCTCATTGTCTGCACTTGCCCCCCTGGCATTTGTCTCTCCCCCACCCTGTCCCTTGGTGCCTTCCCCTTTCTTCTCCTGCCCTGCCCCTCCCCTCTGCACAAGCCCCTTCCTCCCCCACCTTTTGCCTTCCAGTTTGCGGGGCTGGAGTCTGTGGTCAGGCCCTAGAAGTCTCGGCAGCTGCTTCTGGGGCAGGACCGCTTGCCAGGCCTGGAGCTGGGCCTCCCACGGTGCGAATATTAGTGCCGGATTCCAATCCCTGCAACAGATTTGGTTCCCATTAGGAGGGGTGCAGCGAAGGGGCGGAGGGAGGGAGAAAGCACCGAGGGAGCCGCTTACATGCTGGATGGAGGCGGGGAGTTGCTGCTGCACCGTCTTAGCACCGGGCATCTTTAAATCTGGCACTTTCCCGGAAGAAAGGGAACATACGGTCACCGTATCTCCGCGGCACACCTCAGACTGCCTCCCGGCACACCGCTGTACCCAGGAACGTGGCTTAAGAGACGCTGGTCTAGCCGCATGACCGACACTTCCCCTGCTCGCCAGGTTCTGAGCAGCTATCGAGGGGCACATTGGAGCTAAATCACAACACAGACCCCTGGGAGCCAAGCCGGGGGGCTGTCCACAAACTTGATGGGACCGTGGGAACCTGGGCCGCACCCATGAAAAGGAGACCCCCAGCTTGCGAAAATCCTGCCGGACCACGGAGGTTTCTGGAGGGAGTTCTGGATTAGAGAGGTTCCACCGCTACAAACGAATTCACGTATCCGGGAGCCACCCTCTGCCGTTCCCTAGATCACCCCCATCCCCTTACACATGGGGGTTCGGTCACTATCGGTCAGGTTGTCAGTTTAGATCCTGCCCTGAACTGGGGTCGGTGTGTGTCTGTTATCCGTGGGGTGTGTGTTGGTGCCCATATGTTTCCTCACAAGGCATCCTGCTACCACCCCTCTGGAAAGTTCATTGGCTGTGTCTGGCACCGTTTAACGTTTTGTGCCAGATTCTCTCGGCAAAGCCTGCCTCTTGCTCCCAACTTCCCTTTGCGTGAGATGAGCAAAGCCTTCGCATTTCCTTCCAGGCCTGAGGGACCGGGACTCATGTTTTGGGCTCTCATCTTACACTCAGATCACGATGCCCTGGGTCAGCCAGACGCAGGGCCTCCCCTCCCACCCAGTGTCCTGTCTGCCCACAGTGGCCAATGCCAGGTACCCCAAAGGGAGGGAACAGAACCGGGAATCCTTACACGATCCCTCCCCTGTAACTCTTTTTCTGAAAAGCAGAGGCTAGGGACACCATGCCTACCCATCCTGGCAAATAGCCATCGATGAACCTAACTGCAATGAATCTATCTTGCTCTTTTTTGAACTCTGTTGAAGTTCTGGTCTTCGCAACATCCACCAGCGAGGAGTTCCATAGGTGGACAGAGCACTGGGGGAAGAAAAAAAACTTCTTTTTGTTTGTTTTAAACCTGCTGCCTATTCATTTCATTGGGTGACCCCCTCATTTGCATAGGATGGGAACAAGTCAATCACTTTTCCTTATTCATTTTCTCCACACCCGTCAGGATGTCCTGAGTCAGCCAGATGCCGGGTCTCCCCTCCTTCCCACTGTCCAGAATTCCTGGCCCAGTTTCAGCTACTTTCAGGGGTTTTTCCCAGATCGTACCTGGACAATAATGGTCAGCGCCATATGAGTTTTTATAGGACTCCACAGCAGGGTTGTTCTATATCAAACACATCCTACAGGAACCTACATTACTTGGGCCTTGTACAAGGAGTGAGCATGGGGTACAATGTTCCCTTTAAGCAGGGTACCCGGGAGAGATTCAAAGGCCACCCACCTGATTAGCAGAGCGCACTCAGCGCTCTCAGTCAGCCACATGCATGTCTCCTGGTGGTGCACATCCACCCATGCCTTGGCGCACAGAACAAAATATAATCCTCACAGGGATGGAAGCGTGTAGCGGGAGCACTGACAGGGTGCAGAGCGGCACAGAGATCTGGCAAAGTAGGAAGGGGGGCAGTTTCCCAAGGACAGTCCATGGGAATGGGATTAGGGGGCTGGGAAGGGAAATGAGGGGGGCACCGGTCATGTGACTGTCCCCAAACGACTCCTCCCCCCATGACCTCTGGCCTACAAGAGGGCCCCCCCGGAAGGGGGAGGGCTCAGGATAATGCCCATCCCACCATCTCCACCCTGCCCTGTCAGCTCTCAGCCATATTGCTCTGCATCCTGCCACTGGGGAGGGGTGGAGGCAGTTCTCTCTTCCCGCACTGCAGCCTGAGCCTTGTGCAGGGAATAGGGAGCTGTCTCCCTGGGAGACACCAGCCCCGACTCTCCGGGAGACACCGGTCCCGACTCTCCGGGAGACACCGGCCCCGACTCTCCAGGAGACACCGGTCCCGTCTCTCTGGGAGACACAAGGCCCGTCTCTCTGCAAGACACCAGTCCCGACTCTCTGGGAGACACCAGGCCCGTCTCTCTGGGAGACACCAGTCCCGACTCTGGGAGACAGCAGGCCCGACTCTCTGGGAGACACCAGTCCCCTGGGAGACAGCAGGCCCGACTCTCTGGGAGACACCAGTCCCGACTCTCTGGGAGACACCAGTCCCGTCTCTCTGGGAGACACCAGTCCTGACTCTCTGGGAGACACCAGTCCCATCTCTCTGGGAGACACCAGTCCCGACTCTCTGGGAGACACCAGTCCCATCTCTCTGGGAAACACCAGTCCAATCTCTCTGGGAAACACCAGTCCAATCTCTCTGGGAGACACCAGGCCCGACTCTCTGGGAGACACCAGTCCCGACTCTCTGGGAGACCCCAG